ATGTCCTAGGGTTTTAAAATAAAATTGTGTTTCTTAAGGCTTGCAGTGCATGTTTTAAGATAGGGTTTTGTAAAGAGAAAAATGCTCTAGGATTTCTTATAAAAACTTTGAAGCAAACAAAAGTCATGACACTTTTATACTTTTCCGAAGCTCTCTATATACACATGTTTTTTTTCTCCCAGGGAGATGAAAAATAAGGAATGTGTGTACTTTTTCCTAAAAGAACTTTTTGCCATGCCTTCTTATTTTGGTCTGAGAGAAGCTTTGTTATGCTGTTTCCCAGCCTCACAGTTATTCTGCTTGTCTTGAGCTGACTGTATGTGAGGAAGGATAACCTGTAAAAATGTTTGCTTGACAGTATTTAAAAAGAATGTCTCTAAAAACCAAAGTTTTCCCAGAGCAGTACTCTGTTTCTGAAATGCAGTTTTTGGTTTCTTTACTATTTTAGAGGTAACTGACTTAATTACTTTTGTTCTTTCATCTGTAAATAATTTTGGAACTATTCTACAGTAAATTGCATTGTTTTTATTCTTTGCAGATTAGTTTTGTAAATCTTCATTATAAATTTGTCACTTGTCTTGTGTCAGTTAAGATTTTGATAGACTTCTGTATCAGTAGAGTGTGATGGAGATGGGTGGACTTGCACCAAAAATACCTATTTATTTTGCCTTAAAGTTTAGAACCAGTGACAGAGACTTTTTCCTGGATCTCCTTGCATGTCACAGGGCTTGTGACAGGGTTTGGCTAGCAGAAATAAGGCTGGGAGTGATGAGTGCCATTTACAACCCTGACCCGTGCAAATTAAAAAAAAAAAAAAATCTTAACATATTTGGTGAACTAAGTAAAGCCAACTCATAATTAGAGCCAGTAAATTTAGCTACTTTCTGTGAAATGCTTCTCAATTTCAAATTTCATAGAATTTCACATTTAGAATTCATTGCATAGAATTTCATAGTTCTGTGAAATGTCTCAAAGATCTGAGATTTTTAAATAAAAGATAAAATCACATCTGTTTCAGGGAATCTGAAAAATGCAGTTAGAATTAAAATGGTATATCATCTTACATACATGAACAGATTGAATTATTGATTACTGTAATTAGGAATTTATAGATCAGGTTGGGGATGATTGACAATTTAATAATCTATGAATATGTTATATTGCTCCATGGATTTAGGTCTTTAATTTCTCTTAAGAAATATTTTATACTTTTATGTGTGCCTTATTTTGTAAACTTCATAATTATAATTTCAGCGCTATTGCCTGTGGATTGTTTTCATTTAATTCTCCTATTTTTTGCTCATGGCATATAAAAATAAAATTTATATTTTTGTATATTGACCAGATAGCTTCTTACTTTACTGGACACTTTACAAAATTCTAGTGGTTACTTTGTAGGCGCCTTACAATTTTCAGTATAAACAGTTGTGCCAGCTGGGCATGGTGGCTCACACCTGTAAACTCAGCATTCTGGAATGCAAAGCAGGAGGATCTTAAGTTTAAGCCCAGCCTGGATAACTTAAATATTTAGTGAGACCCTGTCTCAGAAAATAAAAAGAGCTAGGGGTGTAGCTCAGTGCATAAGCCCTGAGTTCAAACCCTAGTACTGGAAAAAAATGCTATTTACAAATACAAATTTTACTTTTCATTAGCCTTTACACATTTTATTTCTTATTTTACTATTTAGGTAGAGCCCCAATCTTAGGGGAAAGCACTCAATATTTTGATATTAAGTACAATATTAACTAGGTTTTTCATAGTTTCTTTTACCAGATTCATCATTTCCTTCTAGTTCTAATTTCTGAGATTTTTAAAACAGTGAATTTGCCTTAAGTGTTATCAAATAGTTTTTCTACCTCTATTAAAATAATTACTGGGTTTTCTCCTTTAATCTGTCAATATATTACTACATTAGATGAGTCATTATCACTTGTATTGACCGAGTTTTGAATGCTAAAGCAGGATTTTACTCCTGATACAGAGAAAACTTTGGCCATGAGATATCATTTTTATATGTGCCTGGATTTAGTTGGCAAGCATTTTAAGAATGTTTATTCCATATATTGATCTCTAATTTTCTTATGTTTGTCTGGTTTGGGTAGCAGGGTTATACAGTCTTTACAAAATAAATTGGGAAGTATTTGCTCCTTTTTTCCCTCAGAGAGTTTATTTAAGCTTTGTGTTCTCTTATCCTTAGGTATTTGGTAGGATTTAGTAGTAAAACCATTTGTTCCTGGAGTTTTGTTCAAAGGAAGAAGCTACACCCCTAGCTCTTTTTATTTTCTGAGACAGGTTCTCACTAAGTATTTAAGTTGCTCAGGCTTTCTTTGAGGGAAGAAAACTAGTAAATTAAATTAACAAATACGAGTCTATTCAGATTTTCTTTTTCTTGTGGTATCAGTTTCAGTCAGTTATATTTTTCAGTGTTTCCATTTTGTTCAAGGCTCAAATTGTTAGCACAAAGTTATTCACATTTCTTAATTTTTCTTTTAATGTTTGTAGGATCTGAATAATACTTCTCTGCATTCTTAATGTAGACATTTTATGTTCTATTTTATTTTTTATTAGCATGACTTGGATCTTTTCAAACAATCGGCTTTCTTAACTTTTCTGTTGTCATTTGGTATTTCATTGATTTCTGCAATTAATCTCCATTATTTCTTTTTTGCTTACATTGGATACATTTTGTCTTTCATTTTCTACCTTAATATGGAAGGTTGGTGAATAATTTCATACATATAGTTCTGTGTTTTAAAATTTCTCTTCAAACACTGATTTATCTCTATCCCACAAATTTTGAATTGCCATGTTTTTATTTTTATATAATTCAAAGTATTGTTTAGTATTTCATTGATCCTTGGATTTACAAGTATATGGTTCATTTGTCATTAGTTGCTTTTCTTGGTATTTTGTCATTATGATTTCTAATTCTATAGTAGTTAAAGAATATATTCTGTAAGATTTTAGGATTTTGCAAAATTCACTAAAAGTTAGGGCCGGGCATGTAGTTCAGTGGCACCTTGCTTGCCTGGCACATAAGGTCCTGATTTTGATCCCTGGTACCAAGAAAAAAAAGATTGCTTTATGATTCATCTAATTGAATGTGCTGTGTACATCTGAAAAGAATATGTATTCTGCAGTTTTTGAGTATATTATAACATTCTATCAGTATCAATTAGCAGCTCAAGATGATTGATAGTGTTTGGATTTTCTGTATCTTTACTATGAACTGTGGGAGGGAAATTTAAATCTCCTACTACAATGGTGAATTTAACTGTTTCTCTTTTTCTTTTATCAATTTTCCCTTCATGTATTTTGAGACTCTTGTTATTACGATCCTAAACCTTTGTAATTGCTATGTCTTCTTGAAGAATTGACCGGTTTCCCTCTATTTCTCACCACTTTTTGAAATCTACTTTATCTGATGTTAAAGCAGTAGTTTTCCCCAACTCTTTATTTCAGGCTATCAGTATCTTTATATGTAAAGTGTGTCTCTTGTAGATAGCTCTTTTATCTGCTCTTACAAGCTCTGAGAGACTATTCAGTCTATTTACATCTAATGCAATTTCTGTTATGTTTGAATTTGACATGACATTTGGTAATTTGTGTTTTCTGTTTTTCCTGTCTTGTTTCTCTTCCCTGCCGTCTTTTCAGTTGATGGATTTTAGAATTTCCTTTAATTTTTTGTTGACTTTTTAGCTATACTTTTTTTTTAGTAGCTGCTCTCGTGTTAAGATTGTACATTGTATTCTCAGTTTTTTTCACAGTGTACTTAAATTTAATGTACCATTTCATGTAAAGTATAAGTTTCTTGTAATAAGTTGTCCTATATGGAAACTAAGAACTACAAATGCTAAGTGTAATGCCTAAGATACCTAGTTAATACCTACCTATTATCTTAATTTTGAAAATTAAACCAAATTTGTATTTGTAGAATTACCTCATTTTAGGTTTGGTATATATTTTTTAAATATATTTGTTTTGTTTGCTAATATTTTGTTTTGCTTATATATAAGAAATTATAATATTTTTATCAATGTTATACTGAACTCTTAAGAGAGCTTAGAACATTTACCCCTTTTTCTTAACCCTGAAAGAGTTTGAGATTGGTGTAATATTTTTCTGAAGCATTAGATACAGTTTGTTGGTAAAAGCATCTATCCTTTAATTTTCTTTGTATAAAGCTTATAATTATGTATTCAGTTTTCTTTTATGGTTATATGAGTAAGTAAATTTTCTTTTTCCTTTGATATTAGTCTGGATAAGTTCTGTCTCTCCATTTCATCAAAAATCTGTAATCTGTTGACATAAAATTATCACATCCCATACATGTAAACCATACTTACCAATATGGTTTTTGCCATTTTTACAGATGTTATTCAGGTAGACTAATTACTTTTCACAAGTTCATATAGCTGCCAAGCTATCAGAGCTAAAATTTGAACCAACATCTAATTGGTTCAGCATTTCTTGCTGTTTATTATGTGGTTATATGTTCTTTTTTCTATCTTTCTGACTTGATTTTTGGGAAACAGCTGTTTATTTAAAATGGTGGGCATATTGATTAATTATACTAGACTATATTAAAATAACATTCTATAATTCCACCTTATTTACTAGATAAACAAAAATGTACAAATTTATGAGCCAAATACTACTTCCTTTAAGGAAAGAATGTTTATCATTTATTTTAATAGAGAATATGTAGAGATAATTTCCATGATGGAAACAAATAAGGTAATCGTTCAACTGATGGAATTAAGAAAGAATTTGACTAGATAGCTGACAATTGGAAGGTTTTCTTTTTAATGTGTTCATAGATAATGTACTATTTCTTAATACAAATAATTAAAATCAGCAGTAATGTTTTGTGTTATATTTTTATTCCTGACAAATTTATTTTTACATACTTTGTCACTAATAGGGTACTCCTACAAGAGTGAAATTTTATATGTCATGATACATTATGCACAGTGATTGAACAAGATTTTTCCCTACAGGTTATTTCATTTCTGGCTGCAGTTTTGCATAAAAAAGGAACTCATGAGGATATTGAAAATAACATGCCAGAGTTTTTACTAAGAAGTATGAAGAAAGAACCCACTTCTTTTGCAGCCAAAAAGGTAAAGTGTCTACAAATACTCAACTTAGGAAGCTAGTATTGCAAAGGTATAAAGAAGCACTTAAATATTACATAATATAGTAAAAATTTTAAAACAAGAGTTTAATGACCTTAAAATATATATATTATAGTCCTAATTTTTGAAGGATTACCAATTTTATCTATCAATTAAATTGTCTCCACAATGACAAAATGGAATTTTAGCTTGAACTTGTTTTTGGAGTTTGATTCTGTTGCTAGACTGGATTTACTCTGATCAATTTGTTAAGCTTCCATGGATGTAATGTAAAGTTAATTTATGTCTTTTTTATGTTTATTTTATTGATGTGAGAATGAATAGCAGACAGGTGCAGATACTAGTAACAAAGATATTTTCATTTATACTTAAAGTTGCTTAGCAAACTAAATTGTTGAAATTATGTAACATTCTTTTTGTATTCAGGGAAGTTGAAATTAGAAAGACTTGGTCTGTGCTTATCTTTGCCTCTATCTACATGCTTGAGTCCTATTCATATGCATACTTTAGCTTCATGAATGTATACTTACAAATGAGTCCACCAAAAAATATATATACACTTCAGGAAAAGAAAAATTTGGGTTTTTTTTTTCTTTGTTTGTTTTTTTGGTACCAGGGATCGAACTCAGAACTTTGTGCTTGTGAGGCAGATGGCAGAACCACTGAGCTAAAATCCCTGGCCCTACGAAAAATTTGGATAAATATTTTAATACTAAATTTATTGAGACATCATGAAATTAATACAAGTTACCTTTAGCCTATACAGTAACAAGAGTTGTTCTAAGTGGTGGCTATTAGTTTCTAGATATTTATTAATATGGCAGACTACTGCTTAGGTCATTGGATTGCTGCACATGCATTTTCATTTTCTTCTCTAAATTGAGCTACCCCACCCCCAACCTTCTTTTCTTTTTCTTTCTCCTTCTCTTTCTCTTTCTCTTTTTCTTTTTTTCTGGCCAGTTTAAGTTGCCCATGTTGGACTAGAACTTGCAGTCCTCGGGCCTCAGCCTTACACAGTGCTGGGATTTCAAACCTGCCTTATTTCATAAATTTTGTGTATTTGCATGTTGCTCTCATGCTTGGTGGACAATTTATTTGCCTAAGTTCAAAACTTTTATCTTATAGCTTGACCAAAATCTTTTTATCTTCTGTCACTCCATATTATAGATGAGACTTCATTTCCAAACTAACTTTTTTCTCCTTAGGAAATTTTTATTGTTTTTGAAATGTTCAGGACTTCATCTTTGAAATTTAAGAAATTTTCTCCGCCTTAACTTTCACTGTAGTGTTCTTCCAAATAACTTCCATTTTAGAAGAACATAGTCAATACTTTAGGGGAAATTAGTTACTAACGTTAGAATTAGCTTCTTTGACAGATGACTGCTGTAACTATTCTTATAATTATTTGACTTTCCTTTCCTTGATTCAGTCCTTCAAGTGCCTTAGTTGCTTTGTTTTGTTGTTCGTGCTTTAGGTTCTTTCTCAGAAAATAGATTCTTTAGGGGTGGGAGTGGGGGTTTCTCTCCCATTCATATAGGATCCACTTCCTCTGTTTCCTAAGTATGCCACATCCCAACTGCTCCTGCATGTTCTGGTATGTTGGTTCCCTGCCAAGCATTCTAGCACTATTACAGATTTATTTTTATATTTTTTCTTTGGTTTCATTGGCATCCATACATGTGTTCTTTTAGCCACTCGAACTGGAATTCAAACTTCTTAATAATTGATCACTATTGACATACTGTAGTATTTCCCTGAACTAAATCTAAAAAAAATTATAACTTTGTTTGATGAAATTCTTAATTGATCATTGAAAGCAATGTGCTTTAAAAAAGACAGTTTATAAAATAGCTAAAGAAATAAATTCTTTTTTTTCTGCAGTTTTTTTTTTTATTGAGTTTATTGTTACAATCTAGGTATACAATACAGTTACATTCATCATTGGGATTCTGTACCTTTACATAATAGGTCTTGATTCTCATTTTTTCCCCTTGTCCCTGCCCTCCCTTCATCCCCTCCTCCCTTCCCCATTTAAAAACACTTTATTTCCATTTTTTTAGTTTCTCATATTTTTTCCTCTCCCTTATTACCTTTCCCCTACGCTTCCCACTTTCCCTACACCTTTAGCCCTTTACTTCCTATTTCACATTATTAATTATCTCATTAGGATCCTGTGTACTATTATAGTTTTTCACACCAAAGAAACTATTCGGTATTTCAGTTAAAGAAATCGCTGTATGAATATTGAAAAGAGGGAATCCTAACATAAAACTAAAAAGGAAAGTAAGAGAAAAGGCAATGATGTAACATCAAAATAATCCTTAATTCTGGAGATGAAAATGGTCCCCGAACATATTTAAATTGCTTCTTGCTCTTATAGTCTTATCTTATTCTTTTTTTCATTATTTAGAGAATACTTTATTAGTTTCTGTAATCAAACCCACATAGATATGACCTTACATATTTAGTACAATGTTTTACCCCGTACACATGGAAAAAAAAAATAAAAATAAAAATAAATTAACATTTCTAGACCAATATGGCTGTCCATTTCTGTACAATGCTAACTTAACACAGTAAATTGGGATGACTTTTTCCAAAGTTGGCACCACTGTTAAAGTTTCCCAAAATTCAATTTATATATATATATGTGTGTATATATAAAAGACTAATAATAGTATGTTATGCATCAATAGCAGCAACAGCTTTTCCAGATTCTGCAGTCATCTGAACGTAATTACAGACATTCAGACATTCCATTAAAAAAAAACAAAAAAACAAAGAAAAGAATAATATCCAGACAATGGCAAATTTCTATTGCTGTTGTGGTACCTGGCACCATTTTTTCTATTAGCCTCTTAATCATCATCTGGAAAGAGAACATTCTAGAGTAATATCATTAAATGTAGCTCTGATAAAGCACGGTCCCTACTATGTATCATAAAGCAGGTACAAGATATTTTACATTCATAGAGGTATGATACAGTACTGTCCTACATCAATAATACTAGATTCAGTTTTGGTTTGAAATTTACTTTGTCTGCAAATAAGATTGCTACCCCTGTTTTTTTCTGGGCTCCTGTCACATGGAGAATTGTTTTCTATCTTTTCACTTTCAGTCTATGGGCTTCTTTTTGCACTAGGTGTGTTTCTTGTATACAACATATTGTTGGATTTTGCTTCTTATTCCATTTTGCCAGTCTATTTCTCTTGATTGGTGAGTTGAGGCCATTGACATTGCTGGTTATAACTGATATGTACTGACTTATTATTGACATGTTATTGGCCTTTTGTTGACTCTTTTTACTTTTTCACCTTCTCCTTTTAATTTCTTGCCTTGCCTATTTGATTTGCTCTGTTGGGCCTCATGGTGTTGTTGCCTTCCTTGTCTTTTTCTAGGATCTTGTTTAGAATTGTTTGTGGTGCTGGTTTGGTATTCATGTAGTTTCTCAGGTGTTCTTTGTCATGGAAGCATCTTATTTCCCCATCCATTTTGAAAGAGAGTTTTGCAGGATACATCAGTCTAGGTTGGAGGTTGTTCTCTTTTAGTACTTGAAATATCTCATTCCAGGCTCTCCTTGCCCTAAGGGTTTGTGTTGAAAAGTCTGCTTTGATTCTGATGAGCTTTCCTTTGTATGTGATTTGTTTCTTTTCTCTTACTGCTTGTAGTATTTTGTTCTTCTGTTGGGTTTCTGGGATCTTGATTATTATATGTCTAGGTGTAGATTTTTTTTTTGATTGTAGCTAGTTGGGGTCCTATATATGCCTCAGTTATCTGAATGTCAAATTCTTCCCCTCTGTTTGGGAAGTTTTCTGTCATTAATTCTGCGAACAGCTTTTTTAAGTCATTTGTATTTTCTCCTGCTACTTCATGTATTCCTATCAGTCTTATGTTATTCTTCTTTGCATCATCTAGGAGTTGTTGGATTGATTTCTCATGATCCCTTACTGTTTTTAAGAGACCTCTCTTTTCATAGTCACTGACTGCAATCTTATCATCTATATCTGAGAGTCTATCTTCGCAATCTTTTATTCTGTTGTGTACACTTTCAATGGAGTGTTTAATCTCCTGGATATCTGTTTGAATCTGTTTTATGGATTCCATTTCTTTCCTATGTTGAGCATTTATTTTTTCCATTTCTTTCTTATGCTGGGCCTTCATGGCTTCTATCATGGTCCTGAGCTCATCTATTTTTTTGTCAATTTCTGCTCTAGAGTCTCGAATTGCGACTTCCATTTTGCTCACTATCTCTATGGTTATCTGGGAAATTATTTCTGTTTTGAATTTTTCTAGAGCCTGACTGATCTGTTTTGTTACTTCCTGTGCTTTGAGTTCAGGGTGTCCTGTTGGTTCACTATCGGCCTTTTCATCCTCATTTGCCCTACTGTTTGCCATTGGTGAACTGGAAGTCTGTCCTTGTGTCTTGCTTAAGTGTTTTCTCATTTTTATTTTTGTTGTCGGACTGTCCTTGGTTTAATCTCTGGGTTATCACCCAAATCTTCCTGATATAGTTGCGCCCTAGCTTCTGTGTCTCTAATGACCCACAGACATTCTCATCTTCATAACATCAGAGAAAACAGCTCATCAAATCAACCGCAATGCTTTATCCCTACTGATACAATCAGCACCACATTAAGATCAAGCCCAACTTGGACACTGACCACCTGTGGGAGTCACTAGTCTATCACCCTTAAATCATATGAATTAAATTGAAATCAAGAAGCAGTCCAGAACATGTCTGCAGTGAATAAAATTTCAATATAGTGTATTTACCATTTAATGGCTCAGATAGTGCGAGGATGCAAGACCCCTGGTCTCAGTTAGCTGATGGCTGAACCCCGTGACGCTGACTGACCTCGGGCTGCAAGGCCCAGATTGAGTTCCCCTACCTTCTGAATGGTTGAACTCCACAACGTTCTAGTACAGGTTTCCCACGCCCTTTCTTTAAAGATGTTCAAAGTTGGGAACTCAGAAAAATACCCTTGATGACCACCTCTGCCTCTGCAGAGTGGGTCCAAAGACTGGCACAGTCAGGAGGTCTGAGAGTGTGGGGGGGACTTATGGGGGTTCAGGGGCACCCGCGTAGCTACCTTCCCAGCGCTTGAGTGATGGCAGCTGGGTCAGGAGCAGGCATGGCTCTCCTTCCCATGGTGGATCGGGGCCCAGCGAAATAAATTCTTTTATACTTACACTAATGACTGAATTAGAATCCTAAAAAATTAGTGTTGGAATACCTTGAAAAAAGCTCTTTTAAATGAATGGAACATTACACATTAAGTAATGGTAGGTTTGAAGTATGTGTTTGTATGGTATGATACATCTTATATACATTTAAAAACTTTTGAGGTGTGAATAAATCATCAAATAATGTGTGAAATAGATGTGCAAAGAATAAATTCCTAAAGAAAAAAACACAAACTATTCATTTCAAATACCAATTCATGGAATAATTCTTTTTATTGAGACTAAGTTAATATTATAGTCCAGCCTTTATGAAAATTAATTATAGTAAATTCATTTGAGAATCTTACTATCTTAAATGATAAAACTTTAGAGATTCTAGGTAGAATTCATAATATAGAGGAGGCAGATTTTTCTGCCAATCCCACCACCAATAAAGGTAATTTCAGTAATGATTGAATAAAAATGTTTTCAATTGATATGACCTGCTTTTTAGTTCCTATTGTAAAGCAAGAAGATTTTGTTGCAAAAGATGCTACTATAAATGTGGTGGGTTGACTAATGGTTAGTTTAAATGGGAACACCCAGCTGGATGGAGTCAGCATGGTTCTGGGTGTGGAAGATCCACCTGAGGATTGTTGCAGGCATGGTCTAAAAGGAGAACAGGAAGGGAATATTGCATGCTGCTGATTTCCCAGAAGCTTTGTTATGGCTGGTTTTCCTGATACGAACTTGGCTGTTCTCCCTGAAGGAGGAGCTCAAGTCCTCTCTGTCACTGGGGATAGCTGGCTGCTGTTCTCTTTGGGGGAGTTCTAATCTTTACCTTGAGCATCACTTCCTGGCTCCAGTGCAGATCCCTCAGCCTTCACTCTGCTGGCCCAGACTTTCTAGCTTCTGCCACTGGCCTTTGGGTCTTCCTGGTGTAGATCCTTGATACAGACTTGCACGAGACATCATTGTGAGATCTAGGCCTTTGGCTGGACTTGTGCAGGACTTTGCCATGGAATCCAGGCTCTTGCCTGGTTTTTTCCAAGTCTCTAGTGTGTGGCCCGCTCTCTTTTACTCTTAAGCATTTGATTTTTTTGGTGAATATTATAAGATATTCCTGCATCAAATCTATTTCTTTGCATACCACTGACTACAACGATGAACATCCTTATGTATATATCTTGGCAGGTTTTTTTTTTTTTTTTTTTTTTTTTG